TATGAGAAGGAATGGATTACTGAGTGATATCACCGAAGGCCAGGTTGAAGGAAAGCGAGGACTGGGAAGAAGACTGACACAGCTAACCGACGATCTTAAACAAGGAAAGAAGATGAAGTTCCAGGAATTAAAACAAGAAGCTGAGAATAGGGAAAACTGGAGAGCTCGTTTTGGGCAGAGCAATGGACCTGTCGTAAGACAGAACACTGAATAATAATAATAATAATAATAATACTATAGTTTACTGTAAATTACCGTCATGACTGTGTAATTTATATTTGTATTAGAAACAAGTTTTGTATTTGTGCTATGACATGTTCAACATCCTTTGATTGAACCTATGAAGGATCTATGAAATATAAGTAAATTCTATTCTATATAGAAGGAAGTGGGTTTGGCCCATTTGAAGGAATTTTCCTGGAATTCATCTTAAGGGACAGGAAAACAGTGAAAAGCCTTCAAAGTAGTTCCTCATTCAAGATTTTTAAAGGATGCTGTTGGTAACCATGTGTCAAATTATATTGTGCATTGGGAAGGCAAAGAACATTTCAGATAATTTTTTGAGGGTAATGATTTTAGCATGTTTTGCTGAAGATGTACGTATTGCGAGTAGTTGGCACTTTTCTATGGGTGCGAAACATGGTCTCTCACTCAGAGGGAGGAACACAGATTGCAGGTGTTTGAGAATAGGGTGTTGAGGAGGATATGTGGGCCTAAGAGAGAAGACGATGGGGCATGGAGAAAACTGGTGAGCTTAAAAATCTGTACTCCTCCCCCAATATTATCAGGGTGATTAAGTTGAGAAGAATGAGATGGGCGGGGCATGTAGCGCGTATGGATAGGACAAGAGGTGTGCACCGGGTATTGGTTGGGAAGCCTGAATAGAAAAGACCCTGGGGAGACCTACACGTAGATGGGAGGATAATATCAGGCCTGATCTATGGGAGATAGGAGTTGAAGGCGATTGGATTTTGTTGGCCCAGGACAGGGTCCGATGGAGGGCTTTGGTTAATTCGGTGATGAACCTTCGGGTTTGGTAAGCCATCTAGTTAGTTAGTTAGTTGGCACTTTTCTGTAGTGTGGTGATAGTATTGCAAAAATCTTACCAGATTGTACATTTACAGCAGTTTACAAAGTTGCTTATAGATGGCATACCTGGTGTTTCAAACATTGACTGCCATCTACATAAAGGTGTGTGTACTATAAGCATTTACTACTGTATAATACAGATTCAAACATAATTTTGTGTGTGTTTTATAATGAGCGATTAACATAATTTAAACAGCTGAAGAAAATTAAATTTATTTTTTGCAACCATTCTTATGAGACATGTTAGCTCTGTCAGTAAAGTAAATAGTTACAGAGAAAATAACCAGTGTTTAATTCCTTGCAGAAGAAAGAAGATTTACCACATATTCCTAATGATTTATTGTGTACCCTTCTGTTGTTACTTACATTCTTTGAGGGCTATGTATGTGTATTTTTGTGTGTGTGAGTGTGTAAACTTCCAGTGTTGGATATTTATGCAAATGAAGAATTTATAGTTTCTCATTATTTATTTAATGACATTGTGTCAGTTGCATGGTTTACATAGCATCAGATGAAGAAATGGCAGGGTGTTCATGAATGGTGACTTCAGAATGACTTATATTTATTGTGTGATTCATTTTATGGCACTCAGTAGCTTGGAGTGTATAGCATCGAATAATAGGACGATCTTTAGGTTGACTTTGAGTGATGAATGGGGATAGCCATGGGACAGTGAAGATACTATCCCAGCATTTTCCTGGAGGGAGAGGAAAATTATGGTCTATTTTGAGGTTGCCTGAAGGAAAGCAGAAATTCAATTAACCAATATGGCTGGTGCCACCATTAAGATTTGGTGTGGGTGTCTGGGAAGAATAAAGGAGTTAACTATCAAGTGCTCAATAGGAACTTTTGTACAAAGGTAATATCACAAAACTATTCAACATAGGAGATACACATTAAGTGAATTAGTTGTGGTGTGAGAAGATAGTAAAGAAACCTGAAGGATAAAATTAATCCTCATTCATTTCAGTTATGTTATTTTGTGAGAGCTTCAGAAAAGTGTTCTGATATATTTGCTCTGCAACAATCTAGTATTACAAAGCCACATCATCGAAAATTAATTGACATTGCTAAAAGCTTTAATACTGCATAAATATGATGTGATTGGTAGATTTCAGGTTGTCATAGGAGTGAGTGTGAAGATTACTGTCTTCTGGGATGTTGTACCATTTCTTAGAAACAGATCAACGTTTCAGAGGCAGTGAGCATATCTGAAATGTTGGTCCGTTTCTAACAGGCTACATGGTGCACCTTACCAGAAGACAGTCATCTTCAACATATAAGGCAAATTCTTTGGCCAGAAATACCAGTTTCAAGGGACATAACAGTATAGGTAGACTTAGACATATTTTAATATTTTTATTTTGCTTTAACACAAAACTAAATATGTAAGTGTGTTTGATATCTGAACCATATTTATGTTCTGGTTCTGAATTACATTATTTTCTTTATATATTTTTAACATTTAGCATTCATTGAACTCAAGCCAGCAGTTTTATAGAGAACTGGAGTTCCATCATTGTAACTGTGTTTTTCTCTTGACAAGAAACTTACAGCAATCTGAAAATAATTATGCCTTCACCTGATATGTCCAAATTGTATTTCTGTAATGTATTTTTGAGACAATTAAGATATAACTTACATAATTTTATTAATAATGTTATTCTTGTATCTGCAAATTTATGAGAGATTATTATTTGTAAAGGATGACACTAGTTTACAGAGGTTCTTACAATATCTGTAGTATCCTTTATTTACAGGGATAAAGTCTGACAGGTGTTAAATCACACTTGTATTCAAGACTGTCATACCCTAAAATTTTTTACTATGTTTTAAATACACAGTTTTTTGTACCCAGTATGTGTGCAGAGATTTGTATTGCATTATCTACATAGTGCATAGCCCCACATTGGACACCAAAAAATATATTGGTTTCACTTGCTTCTTTGTAAAAGAAGAAACTTTATTGCTAGAATAGTCATTCAGGAAGGATGTACATAGCAAGATATGAAAAACTACTTGGAACTGCAGGGCTGTTACAAGGACCTGGAAGCATCCAGATTCCAGGTCTTTGAGAATATGTTCAGAATAAAAATGGTCATTTATAGAGATGAAGTCCATGTTGTGTTGTAATGTTACCGTTCCAGATGTATTTAAATTTACAGAAAAATAAATGTGGCAGGAAGAAAGAATGAATAAAAGATAGAAAAAGCAAGAAAGGAAAACAAAGTAAGAAGTAAATAGTGTATTTCTTAAATTATAAGACACTTTTCTCTTTGCATTTAAAAATTTCTGAATTTGGGGTGCATCATACATTTTATGGCATTTTGAGACATTTTAGAGTTGTACATGTTTTATATTGTAAACCATTCAAAGGGATATGAACACACATTTTATAGACAGGCTACTTCTGATGTCTGAATGATTATCTCATGTCTGATGCCGTTAATTTATTCCCCTGTTGTTGAACTGACTCAAGGCGCATTCTAGTTCAACTGATTTTAAAATGAATATTGAAATACAAGTAAATATTTTGGAATACGTTCAATTTATAATTCAGACACTTAAGAATCAGACAGAAATGAAACTGAGTGAAACAAGTAATACATTCATATATGCATACACATGTGCAAAGTTTTAAACAGATGTTAGTTCCCTATTTGTTTTTAGTTTTTATTCATCTTGAGTCTCACAATATTTGGAGACATGTAGGACTTCATTTCTATCTTAACCTCTGCAAGACAGTCAAAAGGCTAGATATTGAATTTGATTTTAAAAAAAGCGTTACAAATTCAAGAACGCGTCTCGTCTTGTCTTACAAGTAAATAGTAATTAGTCAGTGCTTTAAAAAAGACTGAAAGGAACTGTGTTGTTGAAGATGGCTGTCTTCTGGTTTGTTGTGCTGTGTACTCATGTAGAAGTTGACTGATGTTTTAAATGTGCCTCACTGATGATGGAGTCTGTAAGCACGTTTGAAACGTCGGTAAAATTGCACCAGACTACACAGTGCATCAACCCAAAAGACAGCCATCTTCATACTCACTGCTCTGAGAACCTGAAAGCTCAACTATGTTGTTGTTAAGATTTCAGTTATTGTGAGAAATGTTTCTTTAATAAACAAGTACGTATTTATGTAGGATGTACTTGGTTATATTTCTTAATTTTTAATGACAAATATTAAAGCAGTAGTAGCATGCCTGCCTCTCAGTGCTACTAGTAAAAAAATTATACAACTTACATATGTTTTAAGTTTATAACATTAATACATTTCTGAAAGCCTTTAGTGTGTTAATTAAAGTATTGAAAGTTTTAATCATTAATCCTTAGGAAAGAAATATTGTAGTTCTGTTTTCTACTAATCTTAAATGATGTAGACAGGAATTTTATTTAAATTCTCATGACATTCCATTCGGAGCAGAAATGTGTGGTGTCATGGAGAACCTACATCTTTCCTAATGACATACAATTTAATGGGTTTTTTTTTCATGTTCCATATTCAGTTTTATTGGGGAGTGTGTTCAAGCGCTGGTTGTTTCCATTATCTCATCAGATGCTAAGGTGGTTGTATTTAAATCTGATATTTCATTTGTTTCTTCAGCTGTTATTTCATTGCTTGTGGATGATTCTGGGTTCGAAGTAGTAGGAGCAGGCGTGGTAGTTGTCGTAGTGGTAGTGGTGGTAGTTGAAGTTCCTTCAGAAGTAGATTGTGGTGTAGTTTGTGGTGCACTTGTGGCATTCTGGGATTCTCCAGCTGATGAATCAGGAGGTGGTGATATTACAGTGTCACCATGAATCATGCTTTCTTGTGCTTCCTCAGCATTCTCAGAGGCATCCTTGACAGAATTGGCAATTTCATTGGTTATACTGTATCCAAAGGAAGAAATAAGGTTTTGAAGTGGAAGGTCTTGTCCTATGAAAGGGGATGTATGAGCAGGATAGAGTTGAATATGATAGTGGGAAGAGATGGGCTCATTTGAGGTAGAGGTATTAATAGATGGTGCTGTTGTAGAATTGTTTGTAGCATTTGAATTTAACGATCGACCAGTAGGTTGTTCTACCTCAGGTGGTAGGATTCTTTGGAAAAGTTTTATGGATTTTTGCAGAAGTTGGTTGGCCTGTGGACCTGTCACAAATACCACTTCACTTTTTCCTCCTCCCTCATATTCAGTCTGGTAGGAGTAGCCACTGTAGGTATCATCTGGAGAGGTGTATATGTTTCTTGCCAAAGGTGCTGGAGTAGCAGCAACAGTTTCTGGTGCTGTGTATACTGTGTATGTAAAAAGGGGTGGTGCTTGGTATGATTGAGGAATCACACTTGGATAAAATGGCCCAGTAGCTGCAGGATAACCAAAGTAGCCAGGAAATACAGCCCACGTTGGTACCAGAAGTGTTGCACACAGCAATTCCTGCCAACAGAAAAGTACGCATGTTACATTTCATTCTTAGAATAAATAGAATGCCTGACTTGGGTTAAATTTCATTTAATCTCTTAGGGATTGAGTCTAGGGCTAACAACTCTTTACCATACAATGATCTGAAGCTTTTATGGCGATTAAATATAATGAATTCTCAGGATACCAGCCGTGTCGGGTGTACCCTGAGGACGAGGACGAAGTTGGTTCTTGAAACGTCGGTGTTTTCTCCATTAAACCGCCTGACATGGCTGGTAGCTTGAGAAGAATTCATCACAACCCTTTACTATTCATCGTTACTATGAAAATTTAAGCAGCTTAGAGTTTGGTGGGGTTTTTGTGTGATCCAGGTGACAATTGAAGCACGTCAAAATTGGCACTCGGAAGTTTTTACCGTAGTTTCAGAGAAATGTCACATCCATTGGCTGCCTTCTGTCTGTATAATCCACACACATACCTAGTTTGACTGAATTTTATCCTGAATGTGGGTGCGATAAGTACCTCCGAAACGTCGATATTTACCTACAGGATTACACAGCTTCACAATATTTTAGACCACAATTCACAGACTTGTACCAATATGCTTTTATGATAATGTAGGCTTATAGTTTATTTTGTTGAATTTTGACGGAACGTACGTATAAATGTTAACAAAATCTAGAACTGTGTATGACTTCTCGTGAGACATCTTGTATTTGTAGCATGGAAACGGTATAATGCGTTAGGCTTATTCAGGTAATTTTGTCGTTGACCAATTTATTTTGATCGCTAGGAATTATATTAGTTTCCATTTATGCGCATTATGACTTATTTCAAAAATAAAAGTCTAACATCCAAACGAGTTCCGCCTGAGACTTCAATTCTCTACTTTTTCCAGGCCTGGGGCCACATATACCATTACCTGCCGACTCGCTGGTCGCAAGGTTATAAATAAGTAAATATAAATAGTGTGTTAAAATGCTATTAACACAGGCTTTTAGTCAGTAATTATCCTCAACATAACCAGTTATTAGTAAGATATTTAACACTCCTTTGCTTGAGTAATCTTCCAGTGTCAGGTTCATTTTCAGTTCGTGGAATTCGCGTCTCTCCAAGTGCTGATCCTAGTTCATGATTGCACCTTTATGAAGCAGGAGCTCATCAAAATAACATTTAAATAATTAGTCTGTATCTCAAAGAAAACACAATACATCTCTATTACATTAATGTTGTTTAATGTTGTTTATGAAAATAATGGCTGTTTAATCTGAGAATAATAGGAAACACTGATTGTTAAAGCAGGTGGTACACATAGTCATCACTGGGGTTTAAAAAGTTGACTTCTTCAAGGTGTGGGTTGCTCATGGGAAACTGTTCTGCCAAATACTGACGATGTTAACTGAGAAATGTTTTCTGGTATCATTATATCTATTTTTCGTCGTGCAGGGTGAGACACTATTATAGAAAAATATACGCGGGTTGAAAATCGCTGGCATAAAAGCTTGTGGAGTGGCCACAGGGAAAGCAAAGTTCTTTTGATCTGGTTTGCGTGAAGCAGTAATTGTATTCCCATAGCAACGAAGAGAGGTCGTTGAAGCATGATCAACCTCACCATTATCCATGATGATTTAAATAAAAAGGGTCAATTGGTGCTGTAAATGTCACTACAAAAAAGCCCCAGACCGTCAAGAACGACCTTCCATAGTCATTAACGGGTTCCACCAGACAAAATTGCCTGTTTGGTCAAGGCCAGGAGAACTGTCAGAGTCCGGTTTGTGAATCTGGTCCGTATGCCACACCCTTTGGACACGCCCAGAATTGTTGCCCAACAATGTGGTCCTCACCCACCCCCATACAGGGCCACAACTTGCTGATGTAAATATGTCAAATTTACTGATAACGAGGCAGCTTTATGTCAGTACCTTTGAGCATTTGGCCGACCATTCGCGGAAACTATGCAAATATTTACGGAAGGCGACTTCTTTTCTTCTTATTTTCTGCTTATTTGAAATGCAGAAACAGATCGTGGGTGTCTGTTGGAATATAGTTGTTCTTCTCTGAATGTATTTAGTGGTTTCTTTCGTAATTTATCCGTCGTCTGTTCTTTTTGTCTTAAAAATCTGAAAACCTTTACAAGTTATTTTTAAGGTTTTAAGAAATTTCAAGACAGACGCTGGATACATTTCTGAACAAAATAAATAATATTTATTCGTATTATAATATCGATTGTTCGAAATATAGAAACGATCTGTGTTGTATTCTGATTTTACCCCTCTTTATGTCGATACCTAGCATCGAGATAAACAGGGCCGTCGTTGTCGTCGTAGGCCATTGGTGACCGAAGATGCCTTTCATTGTACGGACTCCATACTTGTAACCTTTTAACAGGGGATCGGAATAGCTGAGTCAGTGTAGTGATTGGGCTACTGGCTGGACAGCCGACGTTTCAGACTTACGTACTGCTTCCATCACCCACCGACGAGTGGACACAGATCGCCGTGATGAAGGCAGCAAGCATCTCTGAAACGTCGGTAAACTACCAGACTACACGGCTGAGTAACCCAGACGATAGCCATCTTTATGTATTGTACACTGATAACTCGTGTGTGTTCAGTGTAAAGTTTAGAATGCACAGTGCTTAACCCCATTTCTCATGTACGCCCACATGACGCGTAGTTTAAACACAATGACTAGTTTTTAAATTTATTCTTAAACAATTTTCTGAATAGGTCTGTGTGAATGTCTCTTGGGTTTGGAGACATATTTCATTTTAAAAGTGAGAATGTGTCTCTTGCCTCAATTGCTTCGTCCTAGTTCTGCCTTGCGTCATTCTGGATATAATCTGAGGAAACTGTAATTTTTATACAAATATTAGGCTAATGTGGCTTTTATTGTTCGTGTGTTGAGGCACCGAAATGCCAATTTGTGATCAAGCGCTGTCATAAACGCCGCTGTTATGTGTTGTTTGATCAGCAGAAAAATGAACACAGAATATCTTAAGTAGCTTTTGAACTCTGTTGAGATTTCGATTCATTTTCAAGCCTGCTTTATAAGCTAGGTTACGGCACAGAATTTGATGGGACGAGGACGTATGAAAGTGAACACTTTGACAAGGTAGGAAATTTTTAAAATAAAACTAGAGCAGTACTAAATGTTAAAAACGTAATATTACAAATATGCTGCAACTTGTTTTTTTACGATAGTTAAGCAACTTCATTGCTTCATTCGTAGCGTGTGGATAAACCTGCTACATCGCTAATCCGCCCTGAAGTGCGGTAACATTCTTAGAAATGAATAGTGTTAGTATAATGTTGAAGGAGAGTCATTTAGAGATCTTGGAGCGGTGATCTACATTGTACCTTAACTCGTATGGTGGCAGAATCGATTAGAGCACTGACAAAACATGCATGAGAGTGTCGGTTAGATCGATTATCGATATCTCTGTCATTTGTAATTTAACGACTTTAATAAAAATCTGTTACACTCGAAGTTATTCAGCGGGGATTTGAAAGGGGCCATATGGCACCTAGACAAACGCCCGGGGTCTCAACCTTTACAGACCTGGGGCCACATTCATAATCGTGGGCCGCAATGATGTAACTGTATTGAAATTTATTAAAATTCTAGTAAATTAGGCCTGTTACTGCACGCCCACATGACGCGTAGTTTAAACACAATGACTAGTTTTTAAATTTATTCTTAAACAATTTTCTGAATAGGTCTGTGTGAATGTCTCTTGGGTTTGGAGACATATTTCATTTTAAAAGTGAGAATGTGTCTCTTGCCTCAATTGCTTCGTCCTAGTTCTGCCTTGCGTCATTCTGGATATAATCTGAGGAAACTGTAATTTTTATACAAATATTAGGCTAATGTGGCTTTTATTGTTCGTGTGTTGAGGCACCGAAATGCCAATTTGTGATCAAGCGCTGTCATAAACGCCGCTGTTATGTGTTGTTTGATCAGCAGAAAAATGAACACAGAATATCTTAAGTAGCTTTTGAACTCTGTTGAGATTTCGATTCATTTTCAAGCCTGCTTTATAAGCTAGGTTACGGCACAGAATTTGATGGGACGAGGACGTATGAAAGTGAACACTTTGACAAGGTAGGAAATTTTTAAAATAAAACTAGAGCAGTACTAAATGTTAAAAACGTAATATTACAAATATGCTGCAACTTGTTTTTTTACGATAGTTAAGCAACTTCATTGCTTCATTCGTAGCGTGTGGATAAACCTGCTACATCGCTAATCCGCCCTGAAGTGCGGTAACATTCTTAGAAATGAATAGTGTTAGTATAATGTTGAAGGAGAGTCATTTAGAGATCTTGGAGCGGTGATCTACATTGTACCTTAACTCGTATGGTGGCAGAATCGATTAGAGCACTGACAAAACATGCATGAGAGTGTCGGTTAGATCGATTATCGATATCTCTGTCATTTGTAATTTAACGACTTTAATAAAAATCTGTTACACTCGAAGTTATTCAGCGGGGATTTGAAAGGGGCCATATGGCACCTAGACAAACGCCCGGGGTCTCAACCTTTACAGACCTGGGGCCACATTCATAATCGTGGGCCGCAATGATGTAACTGTATTGAAATTTATTAAAATTCTAGTAAATTAGGCCTGTTACTGCAAAGAGACTCACATATTATTCAGCAATTCTCTGTAATATTAGAATCAACGGTTTGTGATAAAACTACTTTTGCTTCAGTACTACGGCTTATTTTGGAATATTTTGCGTGGAAGACCGTCTTCAAATGTGTTTTCAATTTGCAACAATGTGCCTTGTCACATAATACACAGAGAAGAGGCGTAAATAACCGTGTTGAAGCGTCTCTAAACCCATTATTAGCAGAACAGACGTACGGCGTCCAATCTGGTTTCGTAATCATTCACAGTTATTGTCTGGAACTTTATTGTACTTCACAGTTTGACAGTTTGCTGGTAAAGGGCTTGCGGATTAAATGCCAGTTGGGGATCTGGTTTGGATTTTGATAATAACTGAACACCTGGTGACACTTTTTATTGTTTTAGGTTAGGAAACTTGTTTAACGTGCCCGACATTTGTTTAAACCATGTGTAAGATTCAGTTGCCACTCGTTCTTCTGTCACTGCCGACCATTTCGTAATTTTTTATCGTTCAATAACATTGACAGTTAAAAGAAAGTTCATATATTAGGAATTACCAGAATTTATACTATAACAGTCAGTGTACGTAAGATATATATTCTGTTCGCTCTTAAGTGTCTGGGCATTGAGGCTTTTACCTTTGTGTTGATGTATAATTTTATAATTTAACGACTGAGTGAGTAACAAGGGTTAACGCTGTCGTTTCGGTAACAAATGAAGAGACTTCCTGTTGATTGTTTAGTGAGGCTTACATTGGTTGCATGTGAAATGTCACGTAGATCGAAGACGAATGCCAGTCTTGTATTTCAGCTATTGTGTGTCTGAAGGAAGGGTTTTGTGTTTTATAGACAAGGAGTTTAAACGAAGTGCAGATTCATAGTTTCGAAACGCATACACTTCGATTTCGATTAGTTTAATGTAATCGGTTTTGTAATACTTTGTCGATCTTAGTCGTTTGGGTTGTGACGCCGTATTGTCGTACTACTATTGGTCTATTCCGTCTTAAAAAGAATCTTGTTTGCCTTTTTCTTATGTCCGCAGTTCTTTATTTGTAACAGCAGTAGCATGGATAATGTTTCTTCCCCCAGCCTTGATATTGTTCGTACCAATTATTTGTTCCGACTTAACCATTTCCCGTGTAGGTTATATCTGCTGATCTTAGGAACTTCATCTCAGCTGATTTTGTCACTTATCGGATTGGTTTATGACTTTTGTTTTTTCGACTTGATTAAAAAGTGAATTTGAAAGTAATAAAGGCTTTGAATATTTTTATTGCATCCGTAGGTACAAAGATAACATGCAATAAAAAGATGCGGTAATTTTTTTTATTATGCCGTGATTTTGCAGCGAAATGGAATTCATGTAAACTAAGTCGATGTTTCTCCGCTTGACGTCGTTCGGAAATGCAATGATTCTATTCTAAAGTGACAAATATGTTGGACATATTTAAAATAATATTATTATGAATGGTTATACGACACGTCTAGTCGGAACTGAGATTTTCAGAATTTCCTGCCAAAGCCATAATTTTAAACTGACCAACAAACCACACAATTACATGGTGTAGAGTTCTTGATAAAACATTTATAGTCACTCAGCTGGTCCATAAATTCCATGGTTTTATGTATTCCGAAGGTTTATTGGCGTGTCCCCAGAAACGCCATCAGCCATATCCTGAGCCACTTTAATTCGGTTGAAAGCCTCACATCTCATTCCTCTAAGGTTCTTTAGAATATTATCACATCTACGTCTGGGTCTCGAAAGCGATCTCCTTATTGAGATTTTCGGGCTGACATAATAAATCATTTATCAATTCCCCATACGTGCAACATGTTCTGCCCATCTCATCCTCCTCCATTTAATCATATTAACAATATCAGGCGAAGATCAGGTATAAATTATGAAACTATTCGTCTTGCACTTTTCTTTATATGCCTATTTGCTGTTTATTGTGTAGTTACCACGCCCTTCACCATTCTCGCGACATATTTTCCTAAGATGGCATCTCGAAGTTTCACTATTCTGCACGAAAAGTTAAAATTGTAAAACGCTAAATTATTTTTATTTTTAGTGTTCTGTCTGAGGACAGGTCCATATGAACAGGATCCTTCCATCCTTTTCTCGGACTGGGATCTGTTCATATACGTTCTTGGCAGATGATCCAGAAGTGGTTTGCCATTGCCTTCTTCTGTGTGTGACTGGAGTAATTGTTGGGATGCCACGGAGAAACCGGGGAAGCCCCCGGAGGAAAACTCCGTGTTGCCTAGACCACGGCCTTGCCCAACACAAGTTATAAATTCGGACACCGCCGGGAATCGAACCCGAGACCCCGGGATTACAAGGCCAGCGTTCTAACCACCGTGGCGTGTAGTTAGGTACACCACTGAAAATCAACATTCCTCTGCCCACTGCTTAAGAAACATTTAGTTAAATTGTGGTACTTACAAAACTAAAGACTCCCATGTTGATACGGAGTATTTGTTGACAGTTAAAATCCACACAAAAATATCGATACAACACCCTCACTCGATCACTGGGGTAGTCGATAGTAAGAATGAGCCGTCACCGTGTAATCATAACAACTGTAAGAAGAAATCATATTCCCGGGGCTTATATGTTTGGAGGGGCGTCATGACATACCCCCACCTAAACCGTCTTTTCCCTGTAATTGATGACCTGTATCTGGAACAGCCCATGGCTTCCGATCTTCCTACAGAGCGGTTATTCCTATTTGTGGGCGTTACTTTGCGAAATACAAGACGTTTTTATGGACTTGCTTTGATCTTTCCGCAGGTTGAATAGGTTGGTGTGGCGTGAGTTCCCTGTTCGAATCTCGGCCACCCAACGTCGTGGTCAAATGGTTAGCACTTCAGGTTTGTGTTCAGGAAATCCCGGTTTGACATGTTGACTGGCTTCGGAAAATTCTGGTGAAAAGATACACATGAACTCTAATTTGTCATTCGCATTTATCCTACCATTGAACACGAAATAGATCATAATTTGTACAGATGAACAAGCGTCTTTAAATAACGTAAAAATGTCTTGCCGGTTTTATGTCGACCGGTGTAATTCATAGAAATAAGTTTCGACCCCCGCCTTCGAAACCTTACCTACTCAGCGCTCCCGTATCATTTGACGTTGTGTAACCCCTGCAGGTGAAACAGCATAATGCAATCTCCTGATAATTAATGTTTTGTGAGTAATTTAAAAAGATCTGTGTTAATGCCTGTGATCTGATTAATGTAACCAAGCGCTGGAGTATTTCATTTCTCACGTTGCCCTTTGCATAAAGAAAATACAAGCGACGTTTCGAATATTGCCTCTGCCCGTTAGTTTAGCTGTCTTTCGATGTGTTTTGTGTGACGCTTCTAATCCTGTATTAATTGCGTTTAAATTCAGTGTCGAAGGTGTGGTTAATAAAATGGCAAATCAACAAATCTGTGAGATAAATTTATTGGCTTGGTTAGTGAATAAAAAAAAAAGTAAATTCCCTTCATATATAACCTGGCAGCCGACGAGTCTGTAGGAAGAGAATGTCACCCCATTTTAAATGTTGAGATCTCCTGCGTTTCATGAGGATCGTATCACTAAGTGTACTCCACCGGAGGAGGTCAGATATTGTCTGTAGACTGTAAAAGTTGTTATGTGTGTGTAGTCATCATGCCACGAAGGAACATGGAAGTTAAGGAAACCTCCACTCATTCTTAACCTGGGAACTAGATTGACATGGTTAGGTCATGCTTTGCCTGTTTTAACCCTACGTGAAGATGTCACAGTAGCCATTGGCTGGATGGACTCGGCAGCGAAGAGGGAATCGAACCTCGGTAGTTTGGTCTGTAACTGATTACTTCATTCTCTACCCATTGGACTGTGTGTATAAAATGGACGGTTATTACCGTGTTATCGTTCATTCCACTGGGTTAGACGTGTGAGATCAAATCGAATAGTAAGTATTTTATGTCCGAGGTGTTCAAAAGCGAAGCATCTGTCGAAAGACATTCGGTATCACATTTTAGAAAGTTTGACAATATAGACACTCTGTGTTAGTAGCCACCCCATTGTGTTGCGCCATTTTTCCTTCTTAGTGTGGTTCTCTTTGAATAACACCTGGATCACCTGAATGTTGTTTAAAGGGCGGAGCTGCAAGCAAGTCCAACTCACGAAGAGTGATTTATATCTGGTCTCTTACAGCCACTGCCAAGCGTAACTGGAACGGGAAAGTGTTGTCATGTCGGACGGAAGTCGTGTTTTGCGTAGGAACTTCATACCGAATCTTGCTTGAAAAGCTGACTGTTTGGTATACTCTGCAGGTCAAGAAACTGTTCACAGAAACCCGCCATATTACCTTACCCTGACTAGCTTGGTCCATTCCCGCCGTTCCCACCGTCTTCCTCTAACATCAATTTTGATATTCATCTTCCACATGCTCCTAGGTATTTCTTGAGATTTCTCGACAAAAACTTTGTGTGACTCTCATATTTCTGTCATCCGTGTTATACTTCCTGCCCGTTTCATCCTTTTGTATTTTGTCGCCGTAACGATGTTTGGTGGATAGTAGTCTTTACATTTTGAAGCTCGTTATTTAAATGTTTCTGACTAGCTGTTACTTCGTACTGTTTCGTCCACACATTTCCCTCTCCACTTCGTTATCGAATGTCCTCAGTGTATGTCATTCCCTTAATTTAGGGGCTAGTAAGGAATAAAAATGTGGCTGTATGTAATTTCACTGTTTTTATTTTAGTTGTGAACACTGTAATTAATAAAACATCGAATTTTTGGGTTAGTCAGCTGTTAGCTCCCCGAGAATTGATACCAGGTTTCGAAAATAAGCAGTCTTTTTTAAAAGGTATTGGAAGGGAAAGTGTTTACTGTATTTTGGGAAATGGGGAAAAATAAGAATTGTGAATTTCCGCTCTGCGTACCAATAGGATTGAAGTGGAAGTTGGAAGAAAACAAGTTTTCCGAATGTGATCAGTGCTACCAATGTAAAATCAAATTAATTCTGCAGCTTATCCGAATCGATTTCATAATAGTGTAGGCCTCCGCCCAGGCTGTGGTATCGGTGATTAGTGTGTCGCCATTTGGTGGTGCAGATGTACAACCAGCCCGCGAGTCCTGTCTCCTCGAGGTATGTTGCCACACCTAGCATCGAAAGGACCTGAAGATCGTTTAGCGCCCTTTCCCCACCTGGAATGTACATTCTAGTACAAAAATGTCAAGCAGTTTACGTTACGAACGTCATATTTTTATTTGGCTGTGCACCCCCCCCCCACACACACACACACACACACGAATCTTCCTTTCATCCCATTTGTTTTTGTCTTTGAGGTACATGTTGATTTTTTGCCGTAAATGGACATGAGCTCCTCCTCTGACGTCCTTCCCGATTCATGATTCACTGTTCTCGGCAGTTTATACAGAATCGTAAAAACGGAGTAGCGAAGCGAGGGGTTTTTGTTCTGATAACCTAAACATAAGCCAGAATTTTCTCGTTTCTAACTTCTCGGTGGCTTCGTTTGTATCGTGTCTTGTGAAAATTCGTCAGTTGGATCAGATGTTTAAAGGGAGACCGTATACATTTAGTAAGCCCTATTTCTATCCTTAAAGAAGGAAAGAGGCTAAAAACATAAGTTTAAACTGAAAAAAGTTTCGAAGTCCGAACGCCCAAGGTATCTGATCGCGCTTTACCGTGACCTGTTTTCTTCGACATTAATCAATCCTCCTACATACACCAATTTCAGTCTTATTTTACTGTCAGTGGAATGGTCTGTTTTATTAAGTATGGTTTCAGTTGGAGATTTGTTTCTGGAAATGCATAAAACCTGCTTTATTTTGT